AGGATGAAGATGATAGAATGATGGTGGGTTGTAAATACAATTACTCATGATGATCACAAGCATCGACACGAGGAAGAAGATGACAAGTGTACCACTTTGTTAAAAGAGAGAAAATTCAGCCACAAGATTGATATACTAATTACCTTACGACCAAGTAAGCGACCACATAAGGAAAGCTATAATTAAATCATATCGTATACTTTGAAAGCTTGTTGCTTGATAAGTTAATAGATCATTTTAAAAAAAAAAAAAAATTATTATAATTTATTTTGTTAAAATTATAAGTTATTGATTTGAATTTAGTATAAAATATTTTATTTTTAAATGAAATATCTTAATATATAAAAGAGTAAAAAAAAAAAAAATTTGTCTATAAAATAAGAAGTGTTCATATCTTAATGTGCCTACTTAATTTATTTAGCTCTATTAAAATATAATTTATTTTTCGAGAAATATAAGTAGAAACAATAATAAAAAAAAATTAATATAACATCTTACCGTAATATATAAAAATATATTTTATTAATAAAACAAGAGATAATTAATTTGATTATTGAGATTCCGATCATTAATGTTTGTATCATAACTTTTTAATATAAGCAGTTGGCAAGAGTGTATTTACATGCTGAACAAAAAATTTACAACAAGTTGATAATCACGTGTAATAAATAATTGATGGGGCTATATATATATATATATATATAATAAGTAGATACATGTTTAATGGAGATGAGAGTGGTAAATGAGTTTTTTACGTGCGGTTAAAAACGCCGCCCAACGCCGGCAAATGGGCGGCTGTAAGAGGACAAGGGTGTGATGATGGTGGTAAGGCTAAAAACAAACGAAAGGTTTGACCAATAAAAATAGATCTGACGGTTAAAAGCTGCCGAATCAGAGACTTTCCACTGTTGCCACGTCATCATTTATATTATTTTCCTTTGCTTTAGATTAGATTGATGAGTTGCATAATTCATTTTGACTTCAACACGTAAAAAATTTCTCACATTTTGAAATATGGTCAGAGTTTTCATGTGAAATTCATGTGGCACTATTGATGTTGTTTTTTTTTTTATTAAATACGAAATTGTTTTTATTATTTAATAACAAATTGATATTATAAAATTTAAATAAAAAATATTAAGTCAAATTACATATATTTAATTATAAATATCAAGATTGTTATATTGTAAAAAAATAAACTTTTTTTTTTCATAAATGTACAAGAAGGACCGAGATATTATGTCAAATTAATCAGGTCTAAGAATTAA